TAACCTCTAGCTAGTAGGATCTTAGACTTAGGGTTAAGTACAGCTTGCATATTTAATTAACTTTGCCCAATTTTTATTACAGTCTGCTTTGCATTTTACTTTTTGGCATTCCATTTTTATCTTATACTACATTGGAATCATTTTTTCCAAGAATTTATTCTTGTTCCTCAGTCATGTAACTACCTCTGTTTATTTGATAGCACAGCATAAAAGTTTGGAGCATCGAATGACACTTTCTGGGGAATCAGCTGAAACTAAAGCAGGCATTATTTGGCAATAAGCAAAGGGTTTCTGGTTGTTGTTCAAATAAGAAAGGTTTGATTTCTTTTTAATAATAGCAACTTTTATAAAAAAATAAAATAAATAACACAGGCACAGGTTAATCTCATTTATATAATTGTATAATTTCTGTAGAAGTATATAACTTATATTTTCAAGAATAACTTATGTACTAGCTGTTAAATATCATTGAAAATACAAAAGGAAAATGTCAATTTGGTGAATTTAAATAATGTTATCCTATGACTACCTAAAGATGACTTGATTTTGACTAATCAAACACAAATATCATGAAAATAGAGGCTGTTTTTTATTAAGAAATTCCACTCATACTTAGGCAAAGCATTACTTCAGTAAATCTGTTCGACATGTCCACTGAAGTTTAAAATGAATTTCAATTCAAATTCATCTAAAACTGGTTATAATCGTCTTGAAATAAATCCACAACCAAAGAAACTACAAATCAGGCTGGTTTAAAATTTATTAACTTAAAATATATTTAAAACATAACAATGTTAATGATTTCAAGCTTATGTCACATACTTAAGCTGCTACTCTGGCTGGTAGTGATTTCTGAGTAATCTACCATCTTACTAACCAGATGAACAGGACTGCAAAGCATGAAAATATACTATGGAGTGACTCCACAACAGTATAAGACTAACATTGAAAGTAGAAAGGTTTTTTCCATAAATCAAGAAGTACATGAATGAGCTAAATTGACCATAAATGCACAAAGAACCTCTAGCCTGTAGTATTTTCTAAGCCACAGGTCCTACCCGCTAGAGGTACACGACCAAGAAACAAGATATTCATGAAAAAAGAGTGATTCTAATGTCGTGTTAGACTAAATGGAATGCCAAAAAGTGAAATTCAAAGCAAACTTTAATAAAAATTGGGCAAAGTTGATTAAATATGCAAGCTGTACCTCTAGCTGGTAGTCTTTACTAAGCCTCTCAAAATCCTACCAGCTAGAGGTACAAGACCAAATGAAAAATATAAACGCAAATGTACTCTTGTAAAAAGTAATTCCAAAGAGTGTAAGAGTACAACTTGGAGTGCAGAAAAGTAAAATGTGGAGCAAACCATAACAAAAATTGGGCAAAGTCCACTAAGTATGCAAGCTGTACCTCTAGCCAGTAGTGTTTTATAGGCCCCTTCAGATCCTTCCAGCCAGAGGGACAAGACCAAATAAAAATAAATAAATATATACTTATTCTTGAAAAAAGTGATTCAAAGGACTGTTAGACTAATTTGGAGTGCAGAAAAAGTAAAATGTGAAGCAAAGCGTAATAACAATTGGGCAAAGTTGACCAAATATGCAAGCTGTACCTCTAGCTGGTAGTACTTTCTACTTCTCTTAAGATCCTACTGGCTAGAGGTACAAGACAGTAGAAATTTCATTTTGGGGATCTTTCTAACTAGTAGCACTATGCGAAGGGCATTATAGTGGCGATACTATTCATAAGTTTCGTGTACCTTCGCAAGTGCAGGTCCTAGCAGCTACAGTGTTAAGCTATAAAACTCTGCTGAACAAGAAACTTAAGATCGACAAGCATTAAGGAAACAGCCATACAAAATTTAGCGTAATTTCCTTGATTTAAACTTAAACAATGTATTCTTCACATGTAAAGCATGTTATAATGTTCATGTCTGGTTCAGTCACGTTGCTTGACAGTTGGTCAAGCAACGTGTGATTAGTACGAGTTTGAACAGTTATGTCAGTTTGGCTATATTTGTCATCATTCCTGTTTTGTTCTGTTTTGTTTTTGAACACAAAAGTTATACACCACACAAGTGCTGGCTGCGTTTCATTTTTATTACCAAACATAGGCTTGCAATCTAGCTGAGTGTAAAAGCCTTCAAAACTCGGACTGGCCATTTTCGTTTACTCTCTGAGGATTTTCGTCTCTGCTCACGTTATAATAACGTCAATTACGGCGCCTGGCATGTTTACAAACCTTTGTTGGGTTCTTCTGTTCCTATTTGCCGACTTGCCTGTTCTGAAAAAAACTAGGTAGAAGTCCCGAAGAAAGTCGGATATAGTACACCTGAATTTTGCAGATGGCGTGACAGCTTTAGCTCTGCACAATATTCTCGTACAGCACGCTCTTTCAACCAATGACAGCGCGCGTTATCGTCGCCGAAATCTTCCTTTGACGCACGCGGTTCTCCTTCGTAGGGCTGAACCGTACGCGCAACTTCCATTTCTTCTTTACTACTTAGGTACGATGTATCAAAACTCTCAGTAGAGCCTGCTGAAGGTAGTAATGTATAAGTTATACATCGCTATCGGACATTATTTCAAGAGTATTTCAACGCTGACTGATACAAAATTACAAGAGATGGTCAGAGATGTGAGAGATTGAGAGTTTTCACAGGTTTCTACGTCATCGCCCGCTAATTATCAGTCCACGGGAAACTTTTCAGGCAAAATAAGAGCACTTTATGGCCCGAAAAAACTGAGTTTTAAGTTTTTTGAAATCTTTCTTCTATCGGAATTGGTTTGTACATATAATAAGCTAAATATTGACGCAAAAAAAATTTTGTGTCATAGGCACTTTAAGTTTCAGTTACAACCTAAGAACTAAAATTTCAACTAGTTGCTCTTCTGTTTCTGGAAGCGAAGTATGCTCTTGAAATAATATATTCCTTATCGTTGCCATTGTAAATAAATACAAAATTATGACAATGTACGTGTTTTGAGATTCCGAAACCTAATCCTTCCGAAAATTGTCTTCAGTTTACCTCAAACATCGAATCGTGCTTCGCAACCTAGCCGTTTAGCAATGGCTTGTGTTTAGTGACCTTTAGTCTTATCTTATATGGACGAAATCGTTGGAAATCAGACGGGAACGTCCACATTCGGACGGAAGCGTCGGAAATCACAGACATTGGCTAGGATATTTAAACATAGCTACGCTACTCATGCAAGAGTGAAAGTTTTTGGATCTATGGGGTGAGGTGGGACATTTAATGTTTTCTTTTTTGTAAAATAAAAGAAGCCTTAGCTTTCAAATTATTCCATCGTAATAAACTTATTACTTTTCATAAATCGAGGCAAAGCAAAAGAGCCCCTCTGCTATCTTAAAAAGCCTCAGACAAAAGTTATTTTTTGGGGTTTTTTAACAATAATATGTAAAATAGACAGCACATTGTCAGGCTTTCTGCTGTTCCTCCGTCAGGTACAGTTATTTGCCTTGAAAATATCAATTCACATAATTTTAGAGGTAAAGTAAAACTTCAACACCACAAAATACTCAATAAACGCTGACCAAAGATACTGTGCGGTCTCTCTCCTCCAATATGAATCAACATGAAATGCACTGAACAAAGAGAAAATGATCATATTTTGAAAAGCTTCCAGCTCAAAGCGAATTTGATTCGTAGAAAACGTCAAGTCATGTAACAAACAATAGCGAAAGTTCTTCGTACAAAAAAATTTGTTGTCCTCTGCGTCAGTAAAACACCGATAGGTTTTCCAAGTGGGGCGACTGGAAAATTCTCGAGGATCAATTTCAATTTATTTTAACTCATCTCAAGATTTGTAATATTTTGAACTAGTACATGCTGTTTCGCGTGAATTAAAATGTGACGACTTTAAAAAATCATTCATATAAAGCGATAGATTGATAAATCTGCTTCTCTTTCTACATCCTTCACAACTTCCCACCTACTGGCATCCAGCCAAGAGATACACTCAACCGTTACATCTGCATGAAGGGATCGCCTTTTCAAAGTAGGGCAGGTATGGTTGAGAAGGGTTCTCCATACGTTTATTATCTCTTCCCATTTTAAAGTAAATCTCCTTGCTGTTGCAGATTGTCATATTCACCAGACTGGAAACCGTTCATGAGCAATGACGTCTTGCTCGACTGCAGCGAACTGGCAATCAAAAATCCTGAAGAAAGAGTACCAAAACTGGCTGGCTGTAAGCCACGCCCTTTCTCTTATGTGTGATGGGCTAAGGCCTTTCATCGAGAGGGAGATCAAAGCCTTTCATCAAGTGTTAATGGCAAACCTTACCTCTACACCCCCTTGCACCTGTAGAAACCCCCTAAAACACTCTTGTGCTTGGGCTACACAGCTTTTAATGTACCATA